AGAGGGGATCTAGCATTTCTTAGTTGCCCGTGCTTCTTTTTGTAGGGTGAGGCCTTATGGTCTTTACCTGACAATCTTAAATTTAGATCACACTCTCTTTTTTATTTACTCTTATAATTGTTAAGAACTTTAGAGAAACTTTACAGAGTTTAGGTGAGAACAGTTCATGAATCAGGCAGCCCTCAAAGCCGGAGACAGGACAGGTTGGGAAATTCTACTCCGTGGCATGGGCAAGCATCACCAAGAGAGAGTGAGGGGCAGGGGCAGTCGCTTGGCAGACTGCTAACACCAAGACTGGCCTGTGTTTTCTTTATCTGAGCGTAATCTAATCAGCTGACAGTTTGTGATTGTTGAAGACTCAGACATTTGTTACCAACATATATACTGAAGTTGTGCCTTCCGTGAATTTATATATCGTTTGGCGGCAGGCTCATCATGCAAGGGCTCGAATTATGGAAACATCCTTAGGCCAAAGGTATTTTAGTACAATATAATCAAATGGCCACCTCAGTTGACTGCATATCTCCCCTCCCAGAATGTAAGTACCATGAGTCAGCAGCTACCTGCTACTCAGCCCCTCCTGCAAGCCTAGTTCAAGGCTCCTATCCATCAACTGTAGTCATATTCACAGTACAAAAAATGTACCATATGATCCTCATTGTCACCTGGCTTGACAGATTAAATGTACATTTAAAAAAATAGAGAGAGTTCCTTTGTAATTGCCAGGTAAGACACGGCGCATTGCAGAGCAGAGTGCGGAGAGTCAGAGAGATGTTGAGGTAGGGATTGCAAATGACATCATGAACAGTGTAGTGTTCTGGCCACAGGAAAACCAGGTCAGATCCAACTGTGTCTGCCACCTACACAGCAACTGGAGCCTCTTACATATGCTTTCCGTCCGTCCCTGCTGTGACAGCCTTTAAATTGGGAATTTTGTCAGGCATAATATGCTTCTTCCTCGGGCAAACGCAAGGTGCATATTTTAGCTAGCGACTCCTCCCATGCTAGCGTTTAAAACTGTGAATAATATCTAAGATACACTCATCCACAAGCAGGCAATTTAGAACAACACGTTCGGCCTGCTAATCTTCGGCTTTTAGCATCTCCGATTCGCAAAGGAACTGGGAGCCGCAGAAAGGCATGCGCTACTATGCCGAGATGCTGCTGCCGTTTGGTTCACACTATTCTGTTATAGCCTTCAGAGCAAGAAGAGCCTGGGGCACCATAAAACAATTCTGGGCCTCCCAAAAGAAAACAGAAGCGAACCTTCCAGGCCTCCACAAGCCAGAGCCTTCCTCCAGATGACTTCACTGAGGCTTGAAGCTCCAGGGTTTCCAGAAATCTGACTGACAGGATGAAGTGCCCCATGTCCCCATACTGATGTCATTCATGTCTAATATTAGCAGCAGAGCGTTTTGGGTTCACCTTGGAGAGGGGAGCTTTTATTTTTGAGTCGAACGAGAACAGATACTAAAAATGAACATGGTGAGACTTCCTTCTGGCGTATCTGACACAGATAGAATAGGGAAGCCTGCGCAGCGAGACTATTTTGGATCAAATGGGGCAGGAATCCGAGGTGGCTGGAAGTCCAATGTGCTTTAAGACATTCTCTTCACCTCACTCGTGAATTCTGAGGAATTAAGAAATACAATGAAATCTGATAAAGACATTTGGTCACTCAGCACCACCAAAGATCATGATGGACTTGTGAAAACCGTACTTGGGTGGCAGAATAGACCCAGGCAATGTGTTTCAGCTCAGCGTGAGTGATGTACTTGGTTGCTGGATGTTGTGGCCACACGTACAAAGAACTGAAGGTACCTTTGGGACTCAGTGGGTCCCATCTGTCAAGTGTTTGAGCTGCTGTCATCTATCAGGGTTTAGATGGGCCAGAGGAGCTGGTCACTGCCACATTTCTGACTCCCATGAATTTGGTTGGACAAAGTCAGGTAAAATGTTTGTCATAACACTTGGTATAGCTGCAGTAGTGCTGGGATTTCATGCCCCGCGTGAGTGGCTTTTCCTTCCACCTTCTCTGCCTGTAAAGTGAACAGCAGCAGCAGCATGTGTCCAGAGGGATTTATTTATGGGGTGCTCATCTTGAAAACAAAGTAAGGGCAGTGCATCGAAAGACTCGGACACCTCTATTGTAAGGAAAATATCTGCCACTTAAAATGGCCACGTAAGTTTTGTAACCATTCTCTGTAGCAAAAGAAAATATTTAGAGAACATACCAGAGATTAAAGACGTTCACCTTCCTAGATATGGACGGAGAGGGGAGGACCTTGGACTTTCCACAGGGCAGGGAACCATGACTGCTCTTTGGATAGGAGAGGGAGGGTGAGAGGAGTGGGGGGAGGGGGAGAAGAGAGGGGGGAGGGGGAGGGAAATGGGAGGCTGGGAGGAGGCGGAAACTTTTTTTTCTTATTCTCAATAAAAAAACAAAAAGAGTTGAAAGAAACAAAACCACTAAGGCTCCGATGGGGCTGTGATCAGTGGATCAGCATTTGTCTGTAATCGAACTTTCCTTACATTCCACATTTTCCTAAGATGTTTATTCCAGAAAGGCGGCTGCCTTCTATGTGTAACTAGCAATGGAAAGGGAGTGGGCTATGGTTACTTCTTGCTACTTGGCCATTTGTTTTTGCTGATAGTTCTCTAATTCAGTCTTTCATCCTGACTGATCATTAATTGTCTTATGTCACCGCCAAAGGGAAAACAGGGCAGGCAGTCCTCTGCCTTGGGTGGGTTGCTAAGAAAGTGTTCAGTCACACAAACTTGCCATTTTTGAGCTTGTTGGAGAGCTCTGGTCTATACAGGCTTAGCCTTAAAGCTGCCTTGCTTTGCTTTGCCTTGTTGAGTGGTTGTTACTGTTGCTATTTTGTTTGGCGCTGTTATTCCCCCTCTGTATCGTATCATCCTTAAATCCACTAAATGCTGGTAAAGTTCCCCAGCAAGCCTCGGCTAGATCTGTTTCCTCATGCCAAGCACAAGAGTGCCCAGCCCGTGCTCCCAAAGACTCCTGAATTGTGATGACATGTTATGATCTACCTTGTTCCTCCTTGGACCTGGGTTTTTGCAAAGTAGAGAGCTGTGCCTTGTTCCCCACTGTGTCCCAAAGCTGTGCCTGGAACACAGTGATGTCTCGTTAAGCATATACTTCCTCATCTGTGCTGAATATCTTACCTGGGAGACTCCGGTGCCCACCTGCCTTTCATTTGTTGCTTTGTTTCATCTTGAATGGTGTGTTCTTTTATTCTTTCTGTTAAACTGTCTCCTCTCTAAGTTCCCATCTTTGGAAATAAGCAGACTTGTTACAGAGGAAGATCTTCCGGTTGCACTAATGATTCCCTCCTCCCCAACACACACACCAAAAAAAAAAAAAAAAAAGTCAACAAACAATGCCTTAAGAATTTTTTTCAAGGAAGATGTCCAATTACTTCTCTCCTATCTAGTAGTTCAAAACATGTTTCACACGAACTTGCATGCAAGTTTCCTTGCAGTCGCAAATAGTCAAAGAGTGTGGGAAAATCCAACACCCTATCTGTTAGAGTCAGCAGTCAGACAGCACTAAATGCCCCATTTTGGCCTACTGTATTCCGTTATCACAGTTAATCAGATTCCGTGCACGTAGAAATGACACTGAATGAATGCCACAGATACCAACAGCCCATCCTACTAATGAAGAAATCAAACCCCAGGAAGCTTTGTCCTAGGGTCCCTCAGCTAGTGGAGCAATGGGTGAAAACCCCAGGCCTCTCATTCTGTGTTCTGATGTGTACTTGACTAGCTATGCAATCAAAGGGATCACTTAGGTGGTATTTTATAGGCTATAAAAAGCAAGAGAAGGCCGGGCGATGGTGGCGCACGCCTTTAATCCCAGCACTCGGGAGGCAGAGGCAGGCGGATCTCTGAGTTCGAGACCAGCCTGGTCTACAGAGCTAGTTCCAGGACAGGCTCCAAAGCCACAGAGAAACCCTGTCTCGAAAAACCAAAAAAAAAAAAAAAAAGGCAAGAGAAAAACTGAGGGTGAAAAAATGAAAGTACTGATTCCTAACTCTAAAGAAACCAAAGAGCCTGACAGAGCGAGGTGAACAGGCTGCTAAAGGGATCCAGGTTTCTCTCTGGAGCAGAAGCTGGAAGGGGACTGTGCAACATGTGGTCAGAATAGGGGAGAAATTTTCCCCAGAGTTGCAATTATTTCAGCTTTGCCTCCTTGGTGTGATCTTCACACCGGTTCTATGAGACATTCTCCAGGTGGGAATTTAGTGTCTTCTCTGAGAAATAGTAGTTCAAGGACAGAAATGGGTTGATTCTGGATTTCCATAAAGACTTAAATGAGCGCTACAACGCCCGCTTCCATCGCTATGCAGACTTAGAAAGCTACATTCCTTTTACTTGATGAATTTTTAGAGATGAAAACCAAAAAAGAAAAGTTGAGAGATAAAAGATGACTTCTTCTTTAAAGGGTTATCTGAACTTCCTGTGTTAATTTTCTGCAAACTTGTATACAATAGATTATAGTAACGATGGATTTATGTGCGTTCTTCATTTGGAAGTAATAGTCTATCTTAGAAGGCATGGAGTCAATAAGTCAACATTTATTAAGTGTGTCTTCTGGGGCATTGTCTGTGATGAGTGATTGAGAGTTGGTTTGTGAAAAAGGTAAATGCCCTTGTTCTGGAAGAAAGCACTTTCTAGAAGGAAAGACAGAGACAGGAAATATAGTATCAAATTAATAAAGGCAATTGAAAATTGCAAAGCTTCGTTTTGTGGCAGATAATTTGTTCTTAGGCTAAGCCTGAGAGATTTTTGAGTTTCTCAATGACAAAATGAAATAGGAATGCCATGAAAATAGCAGAGAAAGAGAGGAACTTCCCAAGGGCACAAGGAGATTCTTCTCTGCTTCAGCGCTTGTCAACGAAGATAATATTCAGGGCTAAGTTGCATGTTGCTTCACACGGGGAAGTGTTAACTGTGTTACTTTGCTTTTGTTCTAGGAATCTTGGGAAATCAGGACTCAGAGTGTCTTGCTTGGGTCTTGGTAAGTACTATGGGTTTTATTGGAGGAACAGGTGGGAAGGTGGGAGCCTGAGGGGTTACCAGAGAGTGACTGTGATGTAGGTCAATCAGGGTTTGATCTCAGAGGAGGGAGACTGGCCAGCTTTGCCCCATTTCCACTCTGAACTTTTCCTTCCCAGCATCCCCCTCTCCCTATCTATGCCCAGGGACCCATCATGTTCATTCATCTTCTCCCTCAAGCAGAAAGCAGCCTTAGAGGAAGAGGACCATGCACCTCTCCTGCTCACCTGGTATACAAGATGTAAACATATATACATGTGCTTACCTTGGACTGCCTTCAGTTTACCTGAATGCCTCTCTCTTCTTACTTCCCCTTTGACTAATTAATTTCTCCACTTATTTCTCGAAGTTGCTATGTATTTTGTGTGTTTTTAAAAAGCTACTCCAAATTGTTGGGAGCAAGCTGAGATAAGGCCCACTCAAGTGTTGTCAGCCGACAGAATCTAGAAAAACAAGGGAGATGGTCCTCTAGGCTTTCCTGTCCGTCGCCATCTTGATTATGCTGGTTGCTATGGGAAGACCCATCTGAACTGCGGATGGAACCATTCCCTGGCAGTAGATCTCAGACTGGACAAAATGGGGATGGAGATGCTTTTTAGAATGGAAATGTTTATTCTGTGCCATTGTGCAGTTGTCAAAACATAGCATGGATATTGTACTGTATGTGTGTCAGGCTGCGTCTAACGTCGGGAAGGAAAGAAAGAAGTATGCTAGGGTTACAGGGAACTCACGAAAAAGGATCACTATGTCCACAGAGCAAGACCAATCAAGAGTCTTTATTCCAGCCGACTGGGACCCCACACAGGAGTTCAGGGACTTAGATGTGGTCCAAAGTGCCCAGAACACTGGGATTTGAGGAGCAGAGGCCTTGTCCAGGCATCTCATTTGGCAGCTTCAGGGGGTGGAGGCGCTTCACACAGTAAGCAGTTGGAATCAAACTGTTTCAACAAAATCGAAGTGGTCAGCCAGTCCCAAGGAGAGCTCTGAAAAAACAGGCAGCTAAGACAGTGGTTAGCTGGAGGAAGTTCTGCACAAGCAGTTTTAACAGTGACTGAGATAAGTTAGCTAGGACATCCTGACCTGGGGTTTCTAGAGGAGATGGAGATCAGATTCTGGGGAAACTTGAAATGACCTCACCAAGACTGCAAGATGGAGGAACTTCTGCACTCCTTTCCCTACCGCACTGGTGTCAGTTCGGGTTCTCCTTTTCGTTTGTCTTCACTGAGATGCTAACGTGGAACAGCATCATACACATTTGCTGCTCTAGAAATGCTTGCACATACATCAGATGGCATCTCAGGTGACTCCGAATCCAGTCAAGCCGAAAATGAAAATCAATCGTCACAAATCTACACCTTGTCAATTTGATATCCCAGCATCCATTTTAACTATAACCTTCTGCCCTCCTCTTGAGTGTCCTCCTCCACGACCATCTTAGAATGCAAAGTTAGTCCAGCTGCAAGAGTCCCTCCAGATCTTAACAATTTCATTGTTGTTCAAAAGTTCAAAGTTGCTGGTAAGATTCAAGGTAGCAGGCCGGGCAGCGGTGGTGCACAGCTTTAATTCCAGCACTTAGGAGGCAGAGGCAGGTGGATCTCTGTGAGGTAGAGACCAGCCTGAGCTAGTTCCAGGACAGGCTCCAAAGCTACTGTCTTGGAAAAAAAAATTCAGGGTAGCCTCTTAACTGTGAGCCCTGGTTTAAAAAAAAAAAGTTAATACTTCCAAAATACCACAGTACAGAAACATCCCCATTCCAAGAGAGAGAAATGGTGATATACCCAGGAAAATGAGTGAAAATTTTTGAGTCAACATGTAAAACACTAAACCCTGCAACTCCATACTGAAAGGTCTCAGATATCAGATGGTTGTTAGGGGTAAGGCATTTTCAGGAGTGTTATTAACACCATGCGCAGGCAGAAGGGTGACCGCATGGTCGGGGCGTTGAGGGGATTGAGGTCCACAAACCAGCAAAGGGCAGCACAGCAGGAGTGAGCATCTCTCCTTACAGCTTCCTGAGAGAACAAGCCATTCCCAGCAGGAGCCAGGCTATGTAATTCCCATGCAGAACACAGGAAAGACAGCAGGGAGCAGCATGTGTGCCCACTAATACTCCCTTTCACATAAACTCATTTCCCCTGTGAGAAATCCTACCGCTTAGAGGTCTTAGCTAGAGATTCACAATGGCCTCAGTAGAATTCCTGTCAGACGGCAAAGGGCTGCTTCCGTTATTGTAGCCTGAGAGGCCTGGTCTGAAAGCTAATACATTCTTACATGCGTCTGGTACCTGGGATGCATGATGAAGTCATCGGGACCTCAGTGGTCACTCCTGCCATTCTAGCTACGCCACCTGTAGCATGAGTGCTATCTCATGTATCAGCTTGGAGACTTTCTTGGCAGATATCCCCCCTGCCCTATCCTGACCCTGCCAGCATCCTAGTTTCTCCACTGTTACCAAGGCTCTAGCTTCACAGCTTCATGGAGGAGCTTCTAAGTTCTTCTTGGAGGAAATCTGAACCTGCTGCACGTTGCTTGACCTCAGAGGCTTTCTGGAAGCTTGTTGCAAGACTCTATAGCCCAGTAACTGCTGCCAAGGTCTGTGTTGGCTCAAGATACAATCTGACCCTCTTCTATCTCAGCCATAGCTACTGTGTCTCAGTAACTGAACCAGGAAAAACACTTTCCTAAAGGATGTCTTTTTTTTTCAAAATATTTATTTATTATGCATACAATATTCTGTCTGTATGTATGTCTGCAGGCCAGAAGAGGGCACCAGACCTCATTACGGATGGTTGTGAGCCACCATGTGGTTGCTGGGAATTGAACTCAGGACCTTTGGAAGAGCAGGCAATGCTCTTAACCGCTGAGCCATCTCTCCAGCCCCTAAAGGATGTCTTGAGTAGGAAGTACCTTCAGTAGACTTCTCAGCTCAGGGTCTCTCCTTTCAAATGAATTTGTCTTTACACGAGATGGAGCCTTCAATGGACAGAGTCTTGCCTCAGTTCTAGTCCCAAGAAAGAGCTCAAGGTTTGTCTTTAAATAATGCTGATCTCTGTAACAGTTATAGTGGCTTCCTTTACACTAGTTATGCCTATAAGTTTAAACTCCTGTACATGCATTTCCTTGCTAAACTATGTATTTTCCTGCTCTCTCATTGGAGATACCACTAAGAACAGTGAGCAGAAGCCCCGCCTCAACCTAGATGTGATGACGTTATGACATTCCCTCCATCATTTTAGTCCATAACTCTCTCTCTCTCTCTCTCTCTCTCTCTCTCTCTCTCTCTCTCTCTCTCTCTCTCTCCTCTCTCTCTCTCTCTCTTAGAACAGGGTTTCTATGTAGCTCTGACTGTTCTAGAGCTCACCACGAAGACCAGGCTGGTCTTGAACTCATGGAGATCCGCCTACCTCTGCCCTTGAGTGCTAGAATTAAGAGCATGTATCCCTACACCCTAATCCATATATTTTAATTCAGCATTATTCATGTTTTTTAAACTCTGGAAGAATATATACAAGCTATAACACGAATGGCAAGGATGGCCTCTAGTTTGGCTTCCTGTAGAGTCTCCATTCTGTTCTGGAATTTTTGCGCCTATTCTTTGCTATCCACATTCTGTCAGCATTCTTGTGTCATCCCAGAATAGTCTGCTATTCTTTGGCAATAGAACTCTAGCACTGTGGCTTCAAAATCTTCAGCGTTCTTCCTTTAAACTGGTTCAAAAGGCCTGTAAACCGAATGGTCAGATTTCATATACCAGCTTCCCAACCTTTCACACCCAGTCATCTGTATCAGTCACTTTTCTCACTGATGCAGCCGAATATCTGGCAAGAAGAAACCATGTAGAAAGTGTCCACTCGGGTTCACAGTTTGACTGGGACAACCCATCATGGCACAGGATGGAGAAGCTGCGTTTGTTTGTGTTCTGTGGTAAGAACAGCATGGCCCAGTGCAACATGGCGGAAGAAAGCGTTTATTTGGCTTACATTCTGAGACCCCAGACACACGTAAAGAGCGGTTCTCCTCCCTCTAGTTAGAACTGTTTGGAAAAGTTCTTCCAGGCAAATGCTCCCAGAGATGTGTTTCCTAGGTGACTTTAATATCTGTCAATTTGACAATAAAGATTAATTTTCACCAAGTTTTTTGAGAATGTGTATGGTAAATCGTAATTATACATTATTGAAAGGAACTACTCAGGGGCATAAGATTTAAAATATAGTAAATTAAGAAAATATCAGATGAGGAGATGACTCAGCAGATAAAATGTTTGTCACACAAGCATCAGGTCCAGAGTTCATAACCCCAGAACCCATGTAAAAGCCATGTACACATAGCTGCCTGCCTGCAACCCCAACATGGGAGCGTGGAGACAGGAAATCCCTGAAGCAAGCTCGTTAGCCAGACTACCCATAACTGCAAGCTTTGGGACTCTGTCAGAGATCTTGCTACAATATACAAAACAGATACACTACACAATATACAACTGGGAAAAAGACTTGGCGTCAACCTTCAATCTCCATCCACATAGACACACAAACATGTGAGCCTACAAACTGACATGTACCCACACACATGCAAACATGCATGTATCCTACATATGGTACATACACTCAAAAAGAGAAAGTACACACACACACACACCACATATAGATGTATTTAGAACTATGATAAAAAAAATTAACCAATAGTTTAATTTTCAAATTTCAATTTTCAATTTCAATCTTGAAGTTGGAATAGTTTAGTCAGTAGGAACATAGGAAATTGAGCACGATCTAGTCCTCGTGGCAAATACTTGCAATCCTAGCACTTGGGAAGTGGAGGCAGGAAGATCAAACGTTCAAGGTAATCTTCTTCTACTTAGACTGATCTACCTTTACTGCTCAAAAAGGAAAGAAGAGGGCAGTAAGATGGCTCAATGAGTAGAGGTGCAGGACGCAGAACCTGACAGCTTAGGTTGTATCCTTGGGA